GCCTACCGCCGACTTCGCATGGAAGCATCAGTGTGGTTTATGGGTGCTGTTTGGCCCTCAAGGTGGGTTTTACATCAGGTTGTCTTTTCTGTTCCAAGGATTTTTTTTCCCAAGGCTGTTTTTTCATGATGACTTATTTGGGTTGGTGTTGACTAAAATTTCCTGGCAAAGCAAACACTTAAACCCCTTAAGAGGTTGTAGGAAAGTTTGTTAAGCATCTTTCAGGCAATACTTTACTGCCAATAGCTGTTGTATGAATTTATTGTAATTTGTCCACTTGTCAACTGTGAGGAGATCTGAATAGCCCGCCTGACTATGGGAGTGGGAGGATTTTGTTGGTTCTGGCCTAAGTGCAATTGTAATACAAGCCAAGTACCTACAAGGGATTTGAGCCTCTGTAGACGTTAGCAGGCTGGTGCTGTTGCCCTCTAGAGAGGATCTGGCTACTAATTTTCCTGTGGAAACACCCTGAAACATGAATGAGACAAAGGACCTGTTAGATGAAGGGGGACCATGTTCCAGGGGCTCAGTCTGGGGAATTTGTGGACCCTTGCTGAAGTCTTTCATGGGTTGCAGACCTCTAGGGGAGACAGGAATGTCAGAGTTATTGAGCAGTTTGACCTGTAAAACTGCTGGCTGGGTGACTTAAGTGTTGTATAACTGCACAGAAACCAGAATTGTAACCAAAGGTGGTTGGTTTGTGGACCAGCTCTTCTACTTGGCATGACGTTTATCTGTGGAGCCTTCAAGCTGTTATGATTTGACTGCAGTTGGCTTTCCTGGCTATGCAGTTTGCAGACAGGGCCACGGAGATCAAACTGACAAGCTGGGCCTTGAAGAGGGAAGAATGGAAATGGCCTCGGTTATGAAAGTGTGAACTTAAATATCAAGTCTAACTGGCTGGAACAGGGACCTCAACTGTCAGTAGTAAGCTCACACTTCCAGGGACAGGAGACCTTGCTGCAGAGACAGTGTTCCTTGTTTACATATTAATATAGCTTATACCATTTGAACCAGACTTCTGGTTGCTGAAGGCATTTTTGCTTTTAAGTAACTTCAAGCGAGGCTTGTTGCTTTAGAAGTTAAAACGATCAGCTGTCTAGACAACAGTGAACTACACCTTGTTTCTTTGTGCAGGCTCTCTTCTTGTCACTAGAAATACAGAGTTATGAAGTAGTCAGATCCAGGTGCATCCTATTGTGGTGATTGTCCATATGCATAGTGCTCTGGGTAAAATAGTAATACTCCAAAAATTGTTTTTGTTAGGTCTGCAGAGCACAATAGAGAAATTGGAGAGTATTGTGACTAGCTCTACTGTTCTTAAGACCTATTCAAACTTAGTTGGCCAGCTCTTACTCCTGAACAGCACAGTGTTGCCCTGAGAAGACTTGCTTTATGACTCGCAGTAAAGGGATGGTTTCTTCAGAGAACTTGCTCCAAAACAGTGCTATCGAGCTTTGACTGCTGCATGGAGCAGCTACGGAGCTTAAGACCCCTAGTGACTGGCTTTAGCTTGTTCTTCCCAGCGAAAGGAAGATGATTGTCCCTGCTTAAATCCAAAGGCTACTAAGTCACCAGCATTTTAAACAACAGTCTTCTAGAGGTTTGTCTTAATTGAGATAATGAGGGGCAACAGTAACCGGCAGAACAAGTAACCTGGCTCTTGCAAACTCTCCTGCCTTTGCTCCTTCAGTGCACTTGGCATCTCTCTCAAAGCAGGAGAACTGGAAATGCTGAAGACAGCACTGCAGGTTATTTGGGAGAAACAAGTATGTGAACTGGGATAGCAAGCTGCCTTGCTTTTGCAAGTGCTGAGAACTATCTAGTGAGTTATAACGCCTTTCATCACTGATGCAAATGGAGAGTTTAGAGCAATGGAGGCCGTTAGCCTTGTGCCCGAGTCAATATAAAACTAGTGGATGGCTTGGCTCTGCGTGAACTCAGTGTTCTTTACAGGTCTCTGCTTGAACCTGTACAGTTTCGCTCAAGTATCTTATGCTGTGAAATGCTGCAGTCCTTCAGCTCTGCTGTTCTTCATCCCTGGTGGCTCTCTCAGCTCATCTGCTTGTACTGATTTTGGTCTGCAGAGCACAGAGCTTAATGGTGGCAGAGTTGCACCTAATGAGCTTCTAAGCTTGCTGCCTTTGTGCTGGGTGTGAAATGCCCACCTGCATGCTGACTTGCATCCTGTGCTTCCTGGTCACAGGTTCTCCTGCAGTGACCATCCCCCTACCCCTCACCAAATTCTGTAATTCAGTTGTCGCAGAATCTAGCTTTTTCACATTGCTAGACTGAATCGTCTTGTCCTTTTTTCAGTTGAACCTGTGGTTAAACCCAAGCCAACAAAGAGGGGGGGTGAGAAGAATGCTGGCAAATCAAGAAGGAAGAAAAACAAAGGGAAAAACAAAAAGAAAGGGACTCCCTGTGATATGGAATACAAAAACTTTTGCATCCATGGTGAATGTGTATACCTAGAACATCTCCAGATGGTGACCTGCAAGTAAGTTACTTGTACCTTGTGAGTTAGGTGTGATTGGCATGAGCCGGTGGCGTATGAGGGCTCAGAGGAAAAAAAAATCAGTGTCGACTTGGCATAGATCCATCTCCTGCAGTATTTTGACTGAGAATCTCTCTGCCCTGTAAATGAAGTGATGATGGAATCTGAGATGCATAACAAGCCGCTGAACTCATCAGTTGGTCATAAACTCAAACCAAAAGAATGAAAAGGCGTGTCTTCCTGGAACATCACGCCCAAACTAATCTCGACTTGTTGAAATGCTGACAAACCTTGTGCTAGAGCAGTGACTGCATTTCATGAACATGCTCTGAAGCGAGCATCTTGAGATTCATGGGAAACTCTGAAGATGTCTAAGTCAGGTTTGAATGTGTGTGGGTGTCCTTGGCTCCGGACAGCGCTGGAGCTGATAAGAACTTGTGTTAATGTTTACTTGCAGGTGTCATCAGGATTTTTTTGGTGAGCGCTGTGGTGAACAGTTCATGAAGACTCAAAGGAAGAATGATGTGGCAGACTACTCGAAGACTGTGTTGGTAGTGGTAGCTGTCCTGCTCTCAAGCATCAGCTTCATTACTGTACTTATCATTGTGATAGTGCAGTAAGTATTGTACTCTTGCTGTCTGTCTAGCTTAAGTGTGAGCGGGGCTTGTGCCCAGTAGCCCCAAAATGTGCATGGCTTGTCTGAATTACCTGTGTGGGAGGCCTCCAAAAGGGCTGGATTCTTATCCCAGCTTGGGTATGTCTGGAGGGTAAAAGCAAGGTCTGAGAAGTTTGTAAGTGACTAAGCGTTCACTTGACCTCCCTTGCTGTTGGCTGTGCGCAGCCTGTGACCCTTACCTTGTAAAACAAGAACCTTTCTGCTCTTGCTACAACTGGGATAGTTAGAGTGCTGCAGAACATCAGTGGGAACCAGAGGAGGAGCATTAATGCTGATACAGCAGTGCCTTCCCTAATCCTTGTGGAGAAGCCTGCAAGCAGTAATGTGGCAGCCTCATGCATGGCTGTTACCCAACAACTGGATACACAGCTGGAGGGAAGGAAATGGTGCTCCAGCTGCCCACTTATTAATGGAGGTCGCTGGGCTTAAATACTTACACTGGGGGGAAGCAAATGAGGGAACAAATGAGGTCAGTCCCAAGTACTGTACTGCTTGCTGTTAAGATGGAGGGGACAGTCATTCCAGGCTAACCAACTGCTGACAGTTCAGCGTGGCAGGTAATCAGAATCTGGGGTCCTGTTGTGAATAAGTTAAAAGAGCTTTTCTGGGTACATGTTTCAAGCCATGTATTCAGCTCTTCTTTGTACCTGCTAAAAAGCAGTATGCAGCAGCTTATGCCTGCCTGTGCCTTTGCTTCTTGCCAGTGTGTTTGCCAGGAGTTTGTGCTGAGGTTAGATACTCAGCACAGGAAGCCTAACTCGAGCGTTTCCTGAGTATGGGAGCAGTCCTTCAGTTCTGAGACTGCAGGGCTTGGGATATTGGAGGTGAAACTCAAAAGTTCGATCTAATTTTAGATCTTGATGAAGTACATCAACAGAATTGGGTATGTGCTGTACCCTTTCCTGCAACTCAGGAAACAAGGTGTGCATTTGTCATTTCACTGTTGCTTCATATTAAGATCTGAACCTGAGGAATGCTGGGATGAACACTTGTTCTCTGAACACTGCCTCATTCCTTGCTGCTAGGAGAGATAACCAGTTCTGTAGTGCTGTAAGAGCAAATGGTCATTGTTGGTTTCTGGAGTGAGCCATGGAATAGGATTGCATTTGTTTCATGCTCCGAACCCTCACAGGTTTGAAGGATGCAGTTCATTAATCTGTCCTTTCATCCAGCGGAGCTAGATAGTCTGTTCAGAACAGTTGCTAGAAAAGACTGGAGAAATTGGGGGAAAATCAGGAAGTAGCTTGTTTACGATACATTCAAGGGACGCATCAAGGGGACAGGGACTTCAGATGCTCGAAGTACACGGGGCTCTGCTGTGGGGACAAGGAAGGCAGTCTGGTCTCTGCAGATGTTCACTAAAGGCACCAGGAAATTTGTCCCCCAGAAGGTCTCCTGGTGCTTTGCTCAGTTCCAGCAGTAAACCCTCTTCATCTTTCTACCTCTTTGGGCTTAAGCCAAGAAGCCCTGGATCTGTGAGGCAAAACTACCAGTGCTTAACTCGGGGCTCCTGGATTTTATCGTCGGATACTGCTTGATGCTGAATGTTTAAAAACTGTTCTGCTTTGAAAGATACTGGTGCTGAGGAATTGCTTGAGGATTCAAAGGACATGAGTATAAATGCTGGAGAGGATGTGGGGACTGGTAACAACAGGACGTACGTCAGGGTTCAAAATGACCTCTAACATGCCGTAATTCCACAGGGTCAGGAAAAAGTGTCCTCAGTATGAAGAGAAAGAAGAAAGGAAAAAACTTCGACAAGAAAACAGAAATGGCCATGTTGGTGTGTAAATGAGGAGAAAGCAGGTATGAAAGCTGACTTGAAATGCCTTTCAATCCTTCTAGGCTGGAGTTACCCAGATGAGAATTGCATGCATGTTTTGCAAAGCTAATATCTGCTTTTAACACTTCAGGTGCCTCGAAACACATAGGTTATGTGTGAGTGACTGGTTTGGTTTTCTGGTTTCCCAAAACCAGCTGAGCTGTGCAAGTTCTTAAACGACTCTGTTAACTTTCTGGCTGCTGTCTTAAAGAAAAAGTGAGGCTAGGAAGCTGTACTGAGATAAGTGGACTTGTGAAGAAAAAAAAATCCCTAAATATCTGGACAGAGGCAGATTTAGTAGAAGAAACCATGGTAGACTTCCATCATGAAAGATGGTGCAGCAGCCAAGTGAATAATCAGCTCTCATGAGAGAAGTACTGAGCACTTTCATGGCATCTTTATAAGGCATCAGGCAGATTCTGGTGCTTAGAGGCTGTAGACCAAGAGAAAGCTGCCAATTCTGTGAGGACCATAGGCAACCTCTCAGTCAAGTTGCATACTGTCATAGCAACTGAGTGCTAAAGCTCCTTGGCCTAGATGGATCACTCCTGGGAGAAATCTAGTGGATTTTAATGAGTAAGCAAGTTGGTCTCTTCTGAGCAAAAGTGTACCTAACAGCAGACTCGAGGACCCTTATTGAATAGGAGTTATGCTGTAAGCTGAAGGAGGAAACTGTAAAGGATAGTCCTGAGAAGTTCTGGCAGAACTCAAAGTTTTGCTTTGCCACATGTCAGCTACAGACCTTGTCCAGTGACAGTTGGAGGGTTTTGATCAAGGCTTACTTGAAGCTGAAGAGTATCTAGCGGAGTGTCCTCAGGTGTGTGCGCATCCTTACCCTACCTGCCTCAGATGTAGGGTTGCTGTGGTTCTGGCACAGAGTGCTCATGTCTTGGGTGGTGATTAACGTGCCTGGTCTGCCCCTTACAGAACAATTCTGATGTGGCCACTGCCAAGCTGCAGGGTACCTCTGGTTACCTGACACATCCACTGGACACTGTGGGCTGGAGCTGTTGCCACTAAGCCCTGATTCATCAAGACGGAGGCTGCTGCAAGGAGATGTCAACATGCCACTTGCTGCTGAATTGCTTGCTGGGGAGGACAGTTACCACTACATCTTGGCACAATGGTGTGGAAGGAGCTGCCACTGTGGGGTAGAGGACCTGCTAGAGACTACTGCTACTGAGCCCTCTCTATCAGTGCTGGAGCTCCAGTCTCAGCTGCTGTGTGGATGGACTTTCTTCTGTTCGCAAGTCTCCTTTGGCAACTCTAACTCAAAGGGAGAGCGCTTGTTCCAGCTTTTGGGAATGGATGGAGGGGAGAAAATTCCCTTCTCCCAAAGTGAAAGGGAAGAGCTCTGGATGGCTTCTGTCCCTAGACCTCAGTGGATGAAAAACCTAATTCTGCTGTCACTGTGCTCCCTGTTGATATCAGCTTCAGAGAACCTCATCTCTAGTTCTGACTTGCAGGGTGTTGGTGACAGATCTTTGTCAGCCACACCTCAGTTCTGTTACTGTGTGTGTGGAAAGTAATCCCTCTGAATTCAGTAGGACTCGTTGTGTGAGTGGAGCTATCCATTTGTGTGTGTGCTAGCCCAAGTTAAAATTAGTCTCCTCAGGATGCTGAGACAGTAAATGCAAGATCCGAAGCTCTGTATCTGAAGGAAAAGATCCATGCTCAAACAAGCTGATAAGCCTGAACCTGTCTGTTGTAAACACAAAGCTACTTCTCTTACCCAGATACTTGATGCTGCTTTGAGCAGCACTTAAAGTATAAAATGCTTGACATCAGATCCAGTCAGTTAAACTTGACCAAGAACCTGTTCCTCTGAAGAATTAATTTCATGCACTGACACTCTGCAAGCAGTGGTCTCTTGTGCTCTGCCTTCTGGTGCAAAGAACTTACCTCAAACTTTTCTGACCCAAGTGTCCTTGGTTTCTTGAACTGTCCGTGCAGTCTTGAGCACAGAGTAATATTTGAGTTCAGTTTCTTCTTGGAAGAGTGAATGTGTTCTGTATAAACAGAGCAGAATTCTTCTGGTAGCAGAGAAACACCATTAATTGTCAAGTTGTATCTGTAAATGTGTAAATATTTATTACTGTATTTAATATTTAATGTTTCCATAACAAACTTATTTATTTTATAATTAAACTTTTTACATAACCTAATCATGATAACATTTTTTTCTTGCTCTTGGAAGTACATGTAAACACTTGAAATTAGAGCTTGGTTTTTCCTCAAAGTAGGAATTTCAACACTTGAGAGCACAAAGTGCAGCTGTGAAGAACTGCAGGCCTGTGTGAAATGAGCTTGGTGCTCTCACAAGACTGTAAGTTGTTTGTAAACAAAATGTGCAAATGCGAGTACCTGTTTCAGTAGGAAGTCTTTTTAATTCAACTACAAAGCAGTCTTTTAGTTACTGGGTTAGGGAGGGGCTAAGTGAGCCACCTCGTTGGAAGTGAGATCTCAAGCTGAAGTTTGAGCAAATGAGTAGCCCTTTGCGCTGGACTCCTGAGCTGGGAATACTTGAAGAGGGGAGAGAGAGCCTTTCATCTCCATGCGGTCAGGGAGAACTTGGACAGCGGCTTGAAACTGTTTTAAATGAGGAAAAGCAGAATAGCCTCAGGCCAGTGACTCCCTAAACAGAAAGGATGCCTTGGCCTCCACAGTCTGCCTTGAATTTCTTTTCCTCCCCAGGTAGCTATTGGTCCAGCTGTTTGCTGATGTTCCCTCTAAACACTTCTAGCAGTGAGCTGGGGTCTCAGTTCAGAGTTGCCTGAAAAAATTAGTATAAAAGGGATGAGTTTGGCTTTAAAGACACAGTTATAAAGAAGATGACAAAGAACCTTGTTTTGAGGCCTGTTTCTCAAAAGCGTCTTCAAGATGTGTTGCTGGCTGTGGCTTAGCTTGAAGTGGAGAAGGGGAAAAAAAAAAAGACCAAACCCCCAAACCAGTTTCAATTAGGACCCATGTTGTGTACCCAGTGTCGGAGTAGAGCATAGTCCTGTCCGGTGTAGCTGAGATATATTTGCCTTGGCCTCCTGAGTTAGCCAAGGAGTTCTCAGACTCAGAGCAGCCCGTATGGTATGTAGCTGAGGTACAGGTAAATGTATTGCAACATCTCTTGGGAAGATTGCAAGACTTCATTCCAGGCAACTTGCTTCATTACCAAAGTAAACAGTACTTCTTCAAGCGGCTTTTCCACAGACATTTGCTATTAGAGCTCTGGCAAGAAAGGCTGTTTCTGTTGGTCATGCCAAGCTTTTTGCTTTGGAGTAAACAAGCTCAGTCTCGGTGGTAACGGAGCCATAGCCTAGTGAGACTGAGGATGGATTGTAACTCCCATTTGAAAGCCTTGAGACTCTTCTAGAAAATTTTCTATCTCTGGTCTACTTTCTGGAGTAAATACCAGGTTTTCTATGTGATAGGCTAGACCAATGCTAGCATAGGTAACTGAGCTGTTTTCCCTCATCCCTTCCCAGCCTGAAAGCCTAACAGGAATGAAGCTGCTAATGTAACTTGTAAATTCCATCTGTTGTGTAGTTTTCATGCTCTGATTACTGAGTGGACTGGGGAGTATCTTCCAGGAGTTGGCAGTTAGGAACTGGAGGGTCCCAACTGAACTATTTCTGGGAGGCTGGACTCCTGAAAATTTGGATGTCAGCTGAGAACTGTCCTGGCTTGGATTAGAACTTGTATCAATAATCAGCTGAGTCTGCTTAGCTGGAAGTTTGGAAATTGTGGAGGGCAGGCTTCATAGGCGGCTTGTTCCTCTCTACAGATTTAGGTTACAGCCAGGATTTCTGAGAGGTAGGGCAGCCAGCAACTCCTTCATCAAGAGGCTTTTGCTATAGGTCAGTCACAGCCAGCATTGCTGCAGTGCTTGCTAGCAGAACATTTCTGTGCCCAAGAGATGGCTGCTGTCTTGTGCTAGGCAGGGAACTTCCCGTGTTCCCTGTGGTGGCTTGTCAAGCACTGTAAAATGTTTTCTGTGTTTGCTGGAGGAATTCCTTTTTGAAAAATTTAGTACAGGGACTTGAGGGCAAATCTCCCTGTCCAGGAATGACATACAGAATTGTAAGTTCAGAACTGATGTACAACTTTGCATTTAGAAAAAAAAAAAATCCTTTATATTTTTAACCGATTAAAACTTCTAACAAGCAGTAATGTTTTGTTTTCTTTTCACTTGAGCTACAGCCCTGACTAAGAACAGCTTGCTACCAGCTTCCTGATGTAAATTTGATGCAAAAGCACCGAGACCTACCATGTCCAGTGGGTTGGTTGCTTTAAAAAAAATCCCCACAACCGATGAGTGGAACTATATGTCTGGAAGTCTCTTGCTGTCTGAGGATGCTACACTTATGTGACAAGCAAATCTGATCTGCTGCAGGGCAAGACCAAAGATAATTTTTATTGTTGATCCTGCACAGCTAGGTCTGCTTTTCAGGATATATACATCCTCTGGCATTTAACCTGCTCCCCTCATCATGGAGTTACCTTAGTTCCACTAAGCATGCCTGGGTTTCTGGTCCCACATCTTAGTAATAAACTATGCCTCCAGATTTTTCTTGACCTTCCAGTGGCAATGTTACTTTGACAGGAGAGCTTCTGTGTCCTTGTCACTTATAGCTGCCTCAGCTGAGACCTGAAAGAGTAACCTGATGTTCTTGCACAGTTTTCTGCACACACAGCTGATTTTGCAAGGTATTTTCGATACCCAGATCAGCATCCAGGAATTCTGGTAATGTGAGGGTCATGTCTGCTTGCACAATTCCTTCTTCTTTCCCGAACGTTTCATTCTCCATCATTATTGCATTTTGTAGAAAAAACAACAGCTCTTCACGGTGTTTTCCTCTGTTGTGTATTTATGGTGCTTTTGAGTGGTTTGCAGTTGTCTATGACCAGAGTAGCTTCCTGTCTACTTCTGCACTTTGCTTCCCTCCTCCCAGTATGCCCCTTTTCCCTCCGAGCACTAGCAGATGTTACTTTGAGTCTTGGCCTGCTGGATATTACAGGAAGGCCAGTTCTCTATGGCAATGAAAAGGTACAAGTTTAAGATGTTTTCTTTTCCTTGGTAAATCCAGGTATACACAGACATCTGTGAAGGTGTTTGTACCGGCAGTGGCCGCAAGTAGATGTTGTGCAGTGGTTTGCCTAAATCCGCCTTTGAGTTGTTTGATGCCATTTCCAGTAACTGGTATAAAGTTTTGAGTTCTTAAAATAACTTTGAGCAGTTTTTATATCAGTATACTTACCTAGCCTGTTAGTGCTGCTCTTACTTCAGTAAACTACCTGGGCAAACATATCTGAAAGCAAGGTTGTTAACTGCAACAAATGCTTGCCTCTTTTTGAAGAGGTTTTCTCAATGTGCTAACAGTATGTCTTGTTTCAGTGAACAATCCTGCAGTCACTTGGCTCTTGGGGCGTTATCTTTGATAAGAAGCGATGGTTGCGCGTTCTTGGTGACAACTGAATGCAGTGAGTGAGCGTGCTCGAGGAGCAAGGGCTAGTTGTCAGTGTCGGTGTTGGAGTCTGTTCACATGAGATAGATCAGTGGACAGAAGGGTCAGACAGCCTTTCATGAGCAAACCTTGATTCCTTCTCATTTTATGAACAAAGCTGTACATACCTGTCGTTCCTCTGCTGGTTACACCTTCCTTGAGCGAGTAATCCTCCTTTACTGCAGGTCTGGCTTTGCCTATGACTCGTGAGTTTGCTGGGTTGAGACAGCTCCGCCTGTGAATGTCAGAGGGAAACGGCTATTTGCTTACTGCGGATCTAGGCCCAAAGCCAAAGAAGCAGGATTTGTGCCTTTTTTAACCAAAGGAGACCTGTGAGGTGGGTCATCTTAAGTCCAAGGTAAAGAAATGCTTTCAAAATACATTTTCCTAGTAAGGAGAATAGCAGTTTTCCTTGAGAAAAAACAAATTTTCATTCATACCCTTTTTGTGTCAAAAAGACATATCTTTTTGCATATAATTCAGAAAAATTCCACTTCTCAGCTCAACATTTTTTGACTGAAATAATGCAGCCTGTTCTCTTTGCATTTTGGGACAAAAAGCAAAGCTAAATAGCCTGAGAGTCTGATCTAACCCAGCATTTCCAATATGTCTTAACCTAGATGTCATACCCTCGTTCCAATGCTATGCACGCTCAGTCAGATAACACCGTCATTACTTCTGACTGCCTTTGGATTCTTGCCTACCGACGCTTTGGTCTA